ATAGGAGTTCGAAAAAATTGATGGACTATTAGATTCGTTTTTTGATTCGAATCATAGTTTATGATTCGTTATAGTATTTTCTCTCACAAAAAATACATATAAATTAAAAATAATTCTAATCTCATGGTTCTAATCCATGAACCAAACGAATTCTTTGTAGTTTCTCTAGTTTTTGCAAGAAAATGGTCCCGTTTCTGATGTACCTAAATTTGTAGGCTTCAGTACAAGTTGGGCAAATGATAGGTCGGGCGAATAATTGAGTTCAAACTTCAAGTTTCAAGTCTTTAGACTTACTTTGTATCACCAAAAAAAAAAATAATAATAATAATAATTCGAACTCACTTTTGAATTGTAGCTGTAGTTTTGGATAGTGAAAGATTCTCTTTTACTTGGATATACACATTCCTATTTTTTAAGAAATATTTACCTTTTTATAACTGTAGTTTTTAATCTTATAAAATATATACTTTTAAATTAGATTTAATACTAAAATTTATACATTTTTATAGTCAATTATCAATTTTAACGTTAAGAATACCAAAATACTCCTAAATAAAAACATAGAAAAAGAAAAAAAGAAAAAACCTAAAAAAACTTTGAACTCATAATTCTAACCTCTCAAATATGTAAAATATTATTCAAATGGTTTTTTTTGTGTTAATAAATTTTTAATTATCATAATATTAGAAAGTTTTTGTGTTTTTTTTTTCATTTTTTTTTCTAAAAATAGTCTAGTCATTTTAAAGATCAAAATCAATTATTGAGACTGAGATAAGATATAGATTTGTATATTAAATTTAATTTGAAAGTATACATTTAATGAGATTAAAAACTGAAAGTATAAATTTTGAATAAACCTAAAACACGTGATATAAAAATACAAATATCCCTTTTTTTTTTAATTGGAAACCTATTAAACTAGACTTACACTTGTGTTTTTTTTCCTTGAGATGTATTACAAGTTGCATTCACACACATTTTATTGGGAGGAACCTTCTTCATCCCGACCGCGGGCTCCGACTCCATTACTCACAGTCACAGAGGGGTGGCCACCCCTGTAAATGGATAATTCTACTATTTTATTCATAATCTTGTTCCTTTTTCTCAATGAAGTTAGACATGATGATTTTTGGGCCCGTTTAATTCGCCGATTTAAATTTTTAATTCGAATTGAGATGTGACTTCATGTGAAAATTTTTTAATGTAGTAAAAAAGTTAGATGTAACTGTTTCTGAGAGTTTTTTTACTGTAAGAAAACTCGAATTAATAAAATAAACGAGACCTTAATTATAATAATTTGAATGAATTAAAATCCTTTTAGTTCACGTGAAAATATTTTTTCACTTTGAAAAAATGGGAATATGTCGATAATTTTTGGGACAGAGAATGCAAGAAATCGCAAGCAAATATCTTTGAATTGTAACGGGAGAGACAGAGATATAACGCCGGGTCCCTATTATAACGTGGAGGAACACATATAGAGGACAAACACATAAGTTTGGCCACATACGACAAAATTGGCCTTTCCTTTTTAACTAATACGGTTCATTGACTTGACTTGGATTCTTCTACGTCCAAAATATACCATCTTCTTCCGACGGTACAAGTATATTTTATGAGTAGATTATCAGATTAATACTTAATAAGATGGCAACGAGAAGTAAAAAAAAAAGTACAATGGTATTGGAACTTGAGGTGGTTGATTACTTTTTGTTAGCTTTTAAATTTCTTATGGTAAATTCTTGATTAATTTAAATTAATAGTTGCTTCCTTGTCAGCTTATAACGGTAAAAATATCACTTGAAGAGATTGCTTATTATTATTATTATTATTATTATTATTATTATTATTTTGTTTTAAAAAAAAGAGAGGTTGCTTAATTTTGTTGAAGTCTAATTAATAATAGCAAACTTGCCACCTACAACGGTAAAATCATTGCACAATTGCATTTTATTAATCCATAATTAGTAAGAGAAGGGAATAGTACTTTAGTACATAAATTTATGCATATGCTTAAATGCCCAAGTTAAATTAACTTTTTTCTTCTCTCTCTCTTCTTTCTCTCGCTTAATATTTTAAAAACCTACCAACTTGGGAGATAGTTTCAATCTTCAGAAGAGCTTTTTCCTGTTTTTGAATCACCTTCAAAAATTTAAGATATGTTCTTTTCTCAAATTTAAGTTATGAACTTGAGTTTAGTACGTAAGAGAAAATAATATAGTAAAAAAAAAATTAAATTTAAATTTTTATAAAAAAAAAATATTGTAACAAAAAATTTGAGTTGTGATTTGAGTTAGGTAAAAAACATACCCTTAATGTTTACTGGCAATATTAGATGTATAACAATGGCACAATCAAAGCGCTGGTCCGTTATATATACCTTAAAAAAGCATAACCATTTAACGTCGATCAATGAATTATTTCAACTATTTAGGTAACTCTCAGTTCAAAATATGCTGATCTGTTTCCTTAAAAGTTCACAGTAAGAGTTATAATTGAATGTGGGTACCTAAGAAAAACTGTTTGGGTTGGTTTTCAAACTTTCCAAGTAAAACTTATATATATATATATATATATATATATATATATATATATATATATATATATAATTGCAGTACTCTTTTGAGAATTTTGTAATACGATGCCAATAGAATACAGTTTTTGCCTGTCTAGTTAAAATCAGGTATAATACTTTTTAATCTTTAAATCTAACCAGCAGAATAATATCATATGCCTCGTTTGTTTCACTTTTTTAAATTGAGAATTTTAATTAAAAAGTGAATTTATGTGAGAAAAAATATTATATCAAAAAAAGTTTGAGTTTAAATTTTTATGAGAGTTGTAATAAATAAATTATGATAGCTTAAGAATTTGATGAAGATAATAGTTAAAAACTTTACCCTAATATTATGATATTTCTATTGAGATTCTGTTTTTGAACGTCAAGTACAAAATACGTGTTAAATTATGTAAGTTTTACATTTTCTTTTTCATTTTTATACAAAATCCTGTAATCTCTCTTTTCAAAACATGGGTATATATTTCCAATAAAAAGTAAAGCAGCGTTTGGTTGGTGTTTAAATATTTATGCGGTGCAGCCAATAGCTTCCGGTTCGGGTAAGTCAGAAGGGACCCCACAAAAGTTTTGATTCAAACACGGTGCATGTCTCACTCCACTAGGCCATTTGTCGTTCTCATGGAAACCAAAAATAAACAAATAAAAAAAATTAATATTTCCAACAAAAGATTTTTTGAAAATGAATCATTTTTTTTTAATTTTTTTTTAAAATTAATACGTGAAGACCGAGAGAATCCCAGTGACTGTGAGAGAGAGAGAGAGCGGAACTGTGAGAGAAGAAGAAGAAGAAGAAGAGGAAGTGAAGAAGAATGAGAGAAACTCACGCCGAATCCGTCTAAAAATGCCACATTTCATTTATTATTAATTTATTATTATTATTAAAATAAATAAATAAAACAAACAGGCCTTCAACGGCACGGACCACTTCATTGATTAATCATTTCCTTCTGGTGTGACTTATGATGTGAAACCCAAATTGGACAATGACACTCCTCTCTCTTGGTCTGTGTGATTTCCTTTAAAACTCACAACTTCATAAATATATACGTATATATATATATATATATATATTTTCTTTTTTCTAAAAAAAAAAATCATTAGTGGGATATTGTCTGTTCAAGGTCGAAGCCGTTGCTTAATATTAATAGCTAGGTGGGTAATATGTTAAAATGATTATCTAATAAAGTGAAATTAATAAAATAATTTTTTTTTATTTTTTTTTTGAAAAAAAATATTTATTCATTCTTTGTAAAAAGATGTCATTTTATAAATAAAAATTTTTGAGAAATTATTTTACTAATAAAACTTTTCAAAAGAGTTATTTTTACAAAGGCCTCGAGCGAGGCTTTGTTTATAATTCGAATAAATCACGTTCTTGAGGGCTTGTTCTTTTAAAGTGTAACTTGAGGTAATTTTTGAGTTGAATTTAAGTTATAACTTGAGTTGAAGTTGTAACTTGAATAAAGTTGAATAAAGCTGAATAAAATTGGAACTTAAAAGAATATGAACTTGAATAAAATTGAAACTCGAGTTGTCTTTTTTTGAACAAAAGAACAACCCGAATCTTTAGCCAAAAAATAAATAAAAAAGAAAAAAAGGTTCGTGAGCAGCTTAATTATTATGATAAAGCATTTGGTAACGCTAAAATGGAGCTTCTGCAATCAATTTATATGTTTATTGTGTTGTTTCCTCATTGGACAAGGCAAGGGCAGGTCAATGTATATGCAAAAGTATTCCCATTCATTTTTATATGTTTATTTATCTTCTAGAGTACTTTGCTTTTGTCATTTGAAATAAATGAAATGAAGACTTTTGCATTATCAACTTATTAAATCGGTATACCTAAAAAATTATTAATTATGTGTATGATTCCGTGCTCTATTATTCATTTTTTTGAATTTCAAACTTTCATGATTAAATTTTGTAGACTAGGACTGAGGTTAGATTTGCTAATTTGCTAACTTAATTATTGATATAATTGCATGTTTATTTCTTTAGATGCAACATGATTAATGTGCAAATCTCATGTTTGCATGATGAATTAACAATGAATGAAATGAAATCTACGGCAAATATTTATTGCTTTTGTCCTTTTGGTCCCAACTGGGATTCGGTAGTGGCCAGCTCAATAAATAGCCACACAAGGATAAACCCGTCACAACACAACATTAAAAAAAAAAAAAAAAAAAAAAAAAAAAAAAAAAAAAAAACATTAACAAATCCAAAAAATCCTATTCAAATTCCCATGCACTAAATAACGGACAAAAAAAAATAATGAAATGAAATTAAAAAGAACACAGCACAAACAGCTTTCATTTGAAATCCCTGTTCTTGCTCTTAACGAGGTTGCACGCTCTCTCTCTCTTCTCTGTCCATGTCTCTGTCTCTGTCCTTCTCTCTCTCTCCTCTTTATCAGTTCCTTACAAAAGACCCAAACATACAGAGCTTTCTTTCTCTGACTCAATGAAACACCAACGAAACCGCTAGTTTCTTTTCTCTTTCAAAACCCAACAAATCAAACTTTCAAAGTTTTCATTCAAACATGTCAGTGACGATCGGAGCAATAGCCGCGGCGAGAAGGCCGAAATGGCAGTACCCACCGCCGCCTCCTACGCCGAGAATCCTGCACCTGCCAAGGAGGCCTCGCCGGAAAGTCAACAGCAGCAAGAACTTCCCGGGAAAATCCCCCTCGAACTTTCCCGGAAAATCCAGGAAGGACCGGAAGGGGAAGCTGGAGACGCTGTTCGATCAAGAGAGAGTGTTCACAAAAGTGAGCGTTCCGATAGTGTTGTTGGGAAACGAGTGCGGGGGTGATGAGGGGAGGAGGAGAGAGAGAGTTGAGGAGAGAGAAAGTGAGGTCATGATTGGTGGAGATGGTGGTGTTGGTGGTGGTTGTGATCATAAAATGGCGGCGTTGGAAGAGGGGAAGTGGAGATTCCAAGCGGAGATGTTGAGGGCGGAGTGTAATTTGCTGAGGATGGAGAAGGAGATTGCGGTTAAGAAGCTTGAGAGGACCAGAGTTAAGTTGGAGAGGACTCTTAAATCTGCTGTTCACTCTCTTGTTTACGTTAGTAGTTCATCTCTAATCTCTTCTTTTTACTGTTTGTTTCCTGGGAAAATGGATGGAAGTTTTTCATCTTTAGGAAAACCCAACTCTGAACTGAACATGGACAGAGTGGTTGTATATGTAGTTAGTACTTCAAGTGTGTTGGTAACGTACTTGGGGCGATCAAATATGGTGGCCTGTTTGGTCGATGAGAAAATTCTAGAATGAGAAAAAAAAAACCACATTTTTTAAAATCTAACTGGGGTTCTGGAATGTAGAGAGTTGAAGGGCATTTTTTTGAACTGTAAAAGATCTTGTCCTGTCAGTTTTGCATATCTTTTGATAATTTTGATATGATTTTGACTAAATTTAACGCTCCTCTTTAAGTGTTTAACAGTAATTAATAAATGGTGTCATGCAACTTTGATCAATGGAATAGTTTCCTTGGTTATTTACTTATTTATTTTGAATTGCTAGTGTTTGAATTTTTCTTTCAAATGATGTGTGGATTTCTCAGGAGAGACAGAAAATTTGCGAAGATGAAAATGTGAAGGTGGAATTGGAAGAAGAGATTCAACAATTGGCAGAGAAGCTAGAGAAGCTGAGAAGGAACTTGGAAGTCAAGAATTCGAGGGCTCGAAAATGTCACAACTTTGATAAACAAGCTGCTCTTCTTCAAAGAGAGCTAAAGATGTTTAGAAGAACATCGGATGAGATTTGCGTTAAAAAGATCCAAGAGATGGCAGAAGTCAGCTTTTCCATCAGAACAAAATCTAGACTTAATGAGAGCTTTTTTTCAAGTGACGACTCCAATGTAAGTATCAATAGCCCACTCTATAGTACCCTAATTGAGAGTAATTTTAACATTTTTATAAAAAAAAAAAAAACAAACAAAAAAATGCTTAAATATTCTTCTTCATCATAGTTTTTCAAATGGGTGTTTTTCTAATTGAAAAAAACCCCCCCCCAAAAAAAATGCAGGTGGAGATTCTGAGAAGAAAAATGGAAGGGTTGTCAAATGGGACATTATTAGAGAGAATGAAGGAGGAGTGTGGGTCCATGCTCTCCACAGCCAATTGTTCAGTTGCCAGTTCTGCCTCCACTTCTAAGAGAATTGAATTTACCGAGTCATCGCCAATAGAACAACCCCAAAAGGTAAAAATTTAGAAAAAGTAAACAAAAGGGTCTCTAGCTTTTATTTGGTTTTTTAATCTTCATGCATGATTTTGTTGATTTGTCATTAATCTATTTTTATCAACTTTTTCTTTCCTTTTTTTTTCCCCCCTGCAGGAGAATGAAGAGATTGTGTGCTCAGGGCGTTGTAAGGCTATAGTGAGAAGAATTCTAGAGCAAGTCCGAGCTGAGACAGAGCAGTGGTCTCAGATGCAAGAGATGTTGGGTCAAGTAAGGGAAGAAATGCAAGAATTGCAGGCTTCTCGAGACTTTTGGGAAGATCGAGCCGTCGATTACGATTACCAAATGCAATCACTACATTCTTCTGTAAGAATGCTATAATAATGGCCGTGTTTAGATCTCATTTTTGTTTTTCATGTTTTTTAAAAAATAACTTTTTTATAACGGTGTCTAAAGCAATAAAGATAAAAAATAAAAATGAAAATAATTTTTTAATTTAGTGTAAAATAAAAGAGAAATAAAAAATAATTTTTAGTCATTTTTTATTTTTTATTTTTGTTTTTTCCTCTCGAGTAGAAAGAAAAACATTAATTAGTTTTTTTATATTGAAAATAATCTCTTGATAAAATTATCAAAACGCATTTTTAAAAATAATTTTTGTTTAAAAACGTTTTTATTTTTATTTTCATACAAAAAAATAAAATTATTTCGAAACGAGTTCAGTGCGCCCAATATCTTTGTTATGTTTTTGCATATAGTAAACATTAAAGATTGTTTTAGGCATTGAGTTTCTGGTTTCTTGTTTTAGCTTCAAGAATGGAGGGAAAAGGCAATCTCATCTGAAAACAAAGCGAATCAACTAGAAGCACAAATGTACTTCCTCCGAAATGAGCTCGAATGGTTGAAGAAGGAACAAAAAACCGACGAAACGAGGACCAAATCTTCAGCGCTAGCTTCCATGGATGGACAACATGAAATGGAGAAGAGGGTGTTGGTTTGTCGCTTGAAAGAGAACCATCAAGATCGTCATCATCATGCCAATCGTAATCAAAGTAGCAGTAGCAAGCAAAAGGAGGCTTCAAATGATGTGAGAAGAAAAGCACAAACACACGGCAATAGACTTGTTGCTTCTTTAGAAAGGTCACCTTTACAAGATATTAGCAACTCGTGTGTTTCTCTCAAGCAACATAGTAGAGCGGTCTTCACTTTGGTGCCGTCCAGGACAAGCAAAAACTTTTAGGCAATGGTTTATGACTTTAAGTACTTTTAATTTAGCTTGGGGCTATTCATCATATTTTTGGTTATGTTTAATGTCAATGACTTAGTGGAAGATCCGGGTTCTCATCTCAAGTGAGGGTGATGAATTGCCACAGCGATTTTGCAGTTTTTTTTTTTTTTTTGGTTGTAGATTCTGCTTAAATGTTGGCAGAGCTAGGCTAACCAACATGCTAATTTTATGTAATAAAATCCCGTCTACTTGGTAGAATTAAGGTTTTTTTTTTTTTTTTTTTTTTTAATTTTTTCCTTCCCTTTTCAAGTTTACTACTGCTTTTGAGCATTACATTACAGCTCAAGGTCAAAGTCGTTACCAAAAACAAAAAAAAAAAGTGTGAAGAAGTTAAAGGCCGCCTAAAAAGATTCTAATAAACGGCAAGTAGTTTACAAACGAACACAAGATGTTTTATCTCATGAACGACATGTCGGTTACGATAGCAGTACTAGTACATACATGGTTGCAGTCTTGCAGAGTTGCTGCTGCTGGCACTGCTTCTTACTCTTTCTTTCTTTTTTGTTTTTTAAAAAAGACGTAATTATTAGAAGTGAAAAACAACTACCGTGTTTAGAATTATTTTTATTTTTATTTTTTGCGTTTTTGAAAAAAAAAATGATTTTAAAACGGTATTTGATACAATTAAAAATAAAAATGAAAACGATTTTTTAGTTTAGTATAAAATGAGAGAGAAATGAAATCGTTTTTCATTTTTTGTTTTCGTTTTCTCCTCTCTGAGTTGAGAGAAAGAGACATTAATGAATTTTTTTATAATGAAAATAATCTCTTAATAAAACTACCAAACGTATTTTTAAAAATGATTTCTATGAGATTGAATCGTTTTCATTTCTATATTCATACAAAAAACAAAATCATTTTAGAACGAGTTATAAACGCAACCAACGTGTTATGCGACGGCAAATCACCATTTGAAACGGCAAGACTAAATAAACGACATCAATTAACATTGTGTTCTTAAACTTACGTGCTAGACATTTTTCGAAAACAAAATAACACGTCGTTCATTGACCAAATAACAAAAATTTTGTTTTTTTCTTTTGGAAACAATTTCTTTTTTAAATGACTGGTTCATTAAAAAAAAGAAGGAAAAAAAAAACACTTTGTGAATTTGAAAAGAAAGTATAAGATATTCAAATTTTCCGACCCTTTTTGGTTGGAGGAGGTTTTGTATATTTCTATCCAAAGTGTCCAATGACTCGGTAATTCAAAAAAAAGAGAGAAAGAAAAAGACAGTCTTGTTCCGGAAGGCAGGGGCTCTTATACTGATTGCTTGGGCTGTATTTAATTTGCATATATACCTAAGTAAAGTTAATAATTATCTCTTAGCTATTCTAAAAAAAAAAAAAACAATTATCTTTTAGTTTTCCTTTTTTTTTTTGGCTAATATCATTTAGTTTTCTTTTATACATATGTATTTGGATCTTTTTATGTAGATCTGATACTCATAGAGTTATACTGTATGTTTTTAACGGTTAAATTTGATCAAAATCATATGATTTTAAAAAATTTAGAACAAACCGGTTTTTTATATAAATCTGATATTGAAAAACAGAAACCTAACAATCATGCAAATTTTTTAAATCAACCGTAGAAATCTCCTATTTATTTTCGTGTAAATAGTTTGTATTTAAATTACCTCTTGATTTTAGGAGATTAGATAGTAAACTTATCTTTCTTTTCTTTTCTTGTGGGTGGGGAAACTTAATTTTTTTGAATTCTCTACAACGTGTATACATAGGCCCCGTTCACTTCACCGATTCGAGTTTAGAATTCGAGTTTTGCTACAGTAAAAAACTCTCAGAAACAGTCACATCTAACTTTTTTATTACAGTAAAAAGCTCTCACATAACATCACATCTTAACTCGAATTAAAAACTCGAATCAGCGAACTAAACGGGCCCATAATCGTTAGAATGATTTGGAAAAGACTATGCCCTAATTTTCTCAGTCTAATTGTTTAATATCTGCTTAGTTTATAAAATATTCTCGGGCATACGCAACTTGGAGGTTTTGTTCTACTGGCGATTTCGTAAGTTCTCAACTTCATTATTTTGGGTTTTGAAAGATTTCTCTTAAAGCTTTTCAATGTCCACATTCATATTGATGCTTGTTTTCCCCCTTTTCTGATCTTTCATTTTGCTTTTTTCTTCCCATATTACATTCTTTAAAAATGCCTTCTAATTTTTTAGAAGACAGAATTATTAGTTGGGCATTCTCTCTCTTCTTTTTTTTTTTTTTTTTTGGCCTTTGGTGTAACTTGTTAATTGATTTTTTCAGTAAAGACATGGCAAAAAGTTCATCTTAGGATCTCTAGCGGCATCCGTTGTCATTGCATTTACAGATACCTGTAAGAAGTCATTTGAAGGTGAGTTTAAACTTTTGTATGATAAACCTCTTTCGCTGTATAATTGACTACTTTTACGTCAAAACTTTCATAGTTTAACAATATAGTTTTTTATTTGACAATCAGAGTTGTCACAAACGCAACGGCGGACACAATGTTAGACGGATATTTAGGGCAAATTAAGAATAAATTTCAGACTTAAACTCAGACTGCGGAGCCCGCCGGTTGTGTGAGTCCTACCGGCTACCGGAATTTCATTGTCAAATCTCATTCTGAGTAAGGAACATTATCTTTGACTCATTATAAACTTATGATTCTTTTTTAATATGTTGGCCGAATCAAGCCTTTTTAATAAGTTGTATTACTTTTTAAGTTTTTAATAATGCCGTTGCATAAGCCGTTACTGTAATGATAAATATATATATATATATATATTTAGTGCCGTCAATCACAGTTGTTTTGGTTCCATGAGATTTATTTGTATTCTTGATGGAATTATATTTTCTCTTAGGAAAATGCTTGCCCTAACATAATGGCAAAACATCAAAATGGGGTTATTTTTCACACCAAAATGATGTAACATTCACTTCAAACAATAAATTCATTTCCAACCCATGACACTATTTTTAATACAAAAAACAATATTCTGTGTATATTCTTTTTTGTCTCCCTTGTTTTATTAATTTGGTATTCCTCCAAATTTGGTATTGAATGAATAGGGCATCACTAAATTTGAGTTTCCACTGTTCACCCCGACACCATTCACACCAAAACAGCGTGAAAAATGGTGCTCGGATGGAGAAAATTCTCCACGGCAAACCCACTTTTCCACGCCAATCTAGCGTGGGTTGGAATTGCTCTTGCGAGCTTTATTTCTTTCAAGTTTTTTGGAATCAATGTTGCACGAACAACTAATAATGCTGCACAAATTTATTGATAATAAGATAAAAGTTCTTTGTGTTAATCTTGATGGGATTCATTTTCCCTTGGCAACTTACAAAACTTTCTTCGTGAAAGGATATTAAGATACAGGAATAGTACATCAAATGAAAAAGAACATACTACTTTTCACGACGTACTTCCTACAACATGAACACATTCCCTTGTCATTTTCATTCGGAAAAGATGAAATGGACAGCTATTATCCGATATGCAACTCTCTCCAGTTCACACAAAAACAATGTTCTTTTTTGCATTATTCTAGCATAAAACGGTATTGTTTTCATCTCAGTTTCCGCGTACGGAAAATTAGAGACCAATTGAAACATATGCGAAAATCGCAGCAACAAGCTAAGAGACAAAGATACGGAGAGTGGAGAGTCCTGTGCCCCACAAAATACTAATTCGAAAGCCGAATAGAATAGAGTTCCTACTTCATAACCATTGGTTTATAAAGGAAAGGACCTGAAGAGGGGTACTACTGACACTCAGAAATTGACAAATTGCTTTTCCTTCAAGCTTTCCACAGTTTCTTTGAGGCCGGTTTTCAATGGAATGAAGTCAATACCCAAGCTCGTCGCCTTTTCCTTGGACACCTGATAGGTTGGCATAAATAGTTTGTCATCTGCACACCTGCCAATTTCATTCAAAGTTGATGAAAGCGTAATGAATATTAAGCATATGCAACACATAAAAAGAACATGAAGTTTAGCTGACTATGTGAATACTATCTAAATCCTTAAAAATTAGGATATATCATGGAGAACAAATTTCAGCCGCCAGATGATGAAAAGAAACAACCTCAGCTGTTAAAAAGAAAGTAGTGAGCTTTTAGCTGAAGAATTTTGACAGTTCAGATAACTTCTATTCATCACCCAATGGCTGAAATTGAGCTTCATGGTACATCCCAAAAAAATTGGATGTGATGTATAGCTTCTTCTGACTGTTTGTCGTTTGCATTAAAGTAAGAAGGAAACAAGAGAACTTACTTCTCCGGAAGTGGTAACGATGGGTAGAGCTCACGTAGGAGTCTTACAATTTCCGAGTAGTGGGCAACGCTCTCAACCAAACAATATCTTCCACTAGCTGAAGGGACCTCATACGCCAGAATATGCGCATTGGCGACATCTTTGACATTGACCCATCCAACAGTCAAATTGAGAAACGTTTGTGCTCCTGCATCAAACAGACAGATGAAGAAACCGTCACCTAATCCATATCATGCAAGAAGAGATATCTAGAAAATCAGAAGTTGCTTTGTTACAATATTTCATTAAGATCGACGTAAATGGAATAACAATACGAGTTTCATCATTTGTCAATGAAGCAGATCCTTATAAACTTTGTTGATAATCAGAAAAGAGAAAGTACCATTTATTAAGTTCAAAATGGCGGCAGCACTTGTGTTTAGAGTTGGCTGTAACAGAGGACCAATCACCAATGCCGGGTTGATTGTAACCAGGTCAATACCCTTCTCTTTTACAAACTTCCAAGCAGCGTCCTCAGCCAAAGTCTTCGAAAGCCAGTACCATTGCTAGAAGCAAAGAGATGAAAGAAAGCCACCAAAAACATAATTATGGTACAAGCAACACTCACTGCTAACTAATTTCCATTTCCTTAGTAGATAAAGATGAAGAAGTAAAGTCCCCAAATAAGAAAGATTTTCCGAGGTACACAAACCTTTTAACGATTAAAACAGGTAAACAACATTTATTTAACAAGTTAATAATCATCACTGTTTCTACATTTGGAAAGACCATGAAGAAGAGTATTGGCCCATACCTTTAATTCCTTACAAATATCTGGATCTGAAAACCAGGTCTCATCAACTATCACATCTGGAGTTCGGGGCTTCCCATTGTATGAAACTGCAGCTATGGAAGACGTCAAAACCACCCGTTTAACAGATGAAGACTTTGCACAGGAGTTAAGAACATTAAGCGTTCCCTTCACGGCAGGATCAAGTAATTCTTCCTGAAAACAAGGCAGCATATCGAATAAATTTAACTTGCGCCCGCGCACGCGCACACACAAAAAAAGGGACTTCTTTTATTTCTTTATTATTAGAGAGTTTGTAGAATGTTTGCTTATATTGATCTGATATTGCAAGCTACGGCAGCAACATTTAAGAAAAGACTAAGGTTATTTGGAAGGATATAGATTGTATGTGGTTCCATAGTTCCCCAATGCTTACTCTATCTTAAATGATTATTTGCTGTTGTCAACAAAATTCTCAACTACATAAAGAAACACCTAAATTAACCCAGTTGGGGAAAATGGAGAGGGAGAAGAGAGCATTTTGTGTTTGGTATGATTCTCTTCTCTAATCCCTCTATGTTGCAAAAGATTAAAATCGGGATTCTTCGAAGTAATCGTTCTCCAATCGAAGCAATCGTTCACCAAATCCACTCCCTCCTCTTTCCCCTTTTCAACCAAACAACCATAGGTCCCAAAATCCTTTCACTAAAATCTTTTCACACCCATCCCTCCTACTAAAAAAGCTCTAAGTTCATAAATACCAACAAAACAAGAAGGAAAAAAGAGTAGTAGCAGATGAAAAGAAAACCTGTGGGTCTTTGACATCATGATAAAAGGGAGATGCGGTGTGAAAGACACCTTCAGAGCCTTCAATAGCATTGTCAAAGGAACCTTCTTCCAGTAAGTCTGCTTTGAAAAGCTGGAGTCTTTCCTTAGCCCCATCAAGTGAAGTTAAGTGAGCTGTTTTCTTTTGATCATCTATGCAACAAAATACAGCTGAATTAGCTCAACTATCCCTTTCAAAATCACCATCTAATCTATTAAGTAAAAGGTTAACAAAACTAAGGATATTATAGCTAATACAGGACAAAAACCACCCCAATCAAAACCCAGCACCAAGTTTTGCAAGTCACCAGCACCAAGTTATGCCAGCTCAATTTCCACAATTTCAATAATCAACCTCATTAGCTGTCGATAATCCACTTCACTTTCCTATTTTCCCCCACAAATGTAGTAACAAAATACACATTAGACATAAAAACGAACAAATATTAAAATCAAAAAGAATATCACGAAACCGGAAATGTCCAAGGAACAAACGCCGTCAGAGACTCAGAAAACAATAGTAATAATTAAAAAAAAAAAACAAAACACTTTTTACGTCTTATTCCAATTTACATCCATATTTTATAAATATATTATATTATTTCGCTTAAACATAAATTCACCAAATCTGACAAATCCATCAAAAGCTTCAATGAAAACACTTGTAATCAGGCATAATCTCAGTGGCCGATGGGTAAAGCTCATATTGAAAGGAATAGAAAGATTCGAAGATGGCGAAAATCAAGAGGATCATATATTCATATTCATGCACTAAGAAAAAGACAGAGAGAGAGAGGGAAAGAAAACTGACTTGGATCGCGAACAGAGGCTTTGACAGTGTAACCGCGTTGAAGAAGAAACTTGACGAGCCATGACGCTATGTAACCGGACGCTCCGGTTACGCACACCACCTTCCCTGCTCCGGTCACGATGCTGCTCATCCTTTTGGCTTCTCTCTTCTCACTGCTCTCTGTGCTTCTTTACGAGTTTAGGGTGACAATTCGTGTCACTTATCGTGTTTTGATCGTTTTTTTTTTAATTTACAGTCAATCTGAATATGACTCGTGACATAAAATTTTTTAAAAACTTCAACACGAATACGACACGACCACTTTATGAAATGACACGATACGACTCGAAAATGACTCGTGACATGACCCGTGAACTCAAAATTGACACGAAAATTGTATACTTTTATTTAGTTATTTACATATTAAAAATAACTTAAAATTTATAACACACTAAATTACAATAACATCTATTAAAATTAAGCAAATAATAATATAATATTTTGAGTATAACTATCATTATATCACAAGTTTATAATAAAATTTAAAATATAAAATGAAAAATATATATATTTTTTAGTTTTTTACGAGTTTTAAGTCGTGTTCGGGTTAGGCGGGTTTAATATGAAATTAATCAGTGTTTTTCGTATCAATTTCAAGTCAACCCAATTCTAACCCGAATATCTTTTTTCTCAACTCTAACTAACAAAATTCGTGTTAATTTTGAATCGTGTCGTAATCCATATTATCGGCCCTATTTACGACTGACTCTTTATTATTATTTTTTTTCTTTTGCCGTTTCAAACTTGGGCTTAGCTTTCGGGTAAACCTTCTTAAAGGCTCAATTAATGTGCAATTATTTTATTCTTTAAGTTTTCACCTTTTATTTTTGGGATTTTTTTACTATGGAATTTTAAAAAGTGCTCTATCACTGTTTTTTTAGTTGTTAGATAATTTTTTAACAATAAATCTTATAAATTTGAATTAAAAACTTATTGTTACAAATCTAGCCATGAAAAAATAATCCAATAATAAAAAAAACAGTACTTACCTTGAAATTTTTTTTTCGATTTCCACGGTAAAGAATCCCTTTATTTTTATCCATGTTCCGCAAAGGCAACTGCTGCCGTAATGGTGGGACCACGAAGCAGACACGTGGTACCCATTTATGGTAGATTTGATGATTTCCATCGGAAGCACAACACAAAAATAGAACGTGCAGGCTGTAGAGTTGATTGTGGCAAAAAAAAAAAAAAAAAAAAAAATGCACCAATTGTGCTTTAACAGTTGAACTTTTATAGGGGGTTTTTCCCTTCACTTTAATTTTAGTGAAACAACCTCAAAGAGTATAACTCTTGTGCTTAGTTCAGTTGTATTTTTGAGTTACAGTTACTTGAATATAAATTTTAAATTAAATTTAAGTTATAATATAAGTTAAAATTATAATTTAAGTTTATATTTAATTGTGCATGTGTGAATTATAGTTTGAGATTAAATTTTTTTTTAGTAGGAGTTGTGAATAGTGAGGAGAGAAACAACAAATTACCTTATCTTAACTCAAATTCAAGGGTGGCCATGAACTTAAAAACCGGGTATATTACTTGAGTTTAACTCAAGTTTTGTTTCGAGTTCCCCAAAGTTGAACACTAACTTGGGCCAAGATTTGAGCTCGAGTAGGCTTTTTTGAGTTTTTAGGTGGAAACGAACACACTCTTTAACATTCAAATTCGTCAAAATTTGCTCTTTTTAAGGGAAAAAAACCGTCAAAAATCTCACGGGTTGTTAATACTCTTAGTTCTTGATGTAGGAGTGACGCAACCATTCTTTTAAAAGTTACATTTAATGGGAATGGTGCAATTAAATCTTTTAAACATTATTCGAGAATCTATCCCAAGCATTATTCGTTTGGGTCTTTACTTCAAGAAGTCTTTTACGAGTCTGTGAGCACACCCAATATGTGAACACACCCAACTGATGGGCCCAAGCATTATTATGAGACCCAGACGTAGGCCATCTCGTAAGTTCAAGTATGCTCATGCATCAATTCATGAATTACAAACGCTATATCATTTCAGTCCAAAAACTTTTCATTTTGACAAATTACTCTTTAAAATTTTGGTTTTTTAATTTATTTGGTCTCTTAAACTAAAATTGATGAAAGATTTGTTAATTTTAAGAAGACAGTCACGTCTTACCGGATAATAATTGATATATTTAAGAAATTAGTTACACGAATGCAAAATATTCCCTCCATGGTGGTTAGTTAGAACCACTCAAAAACTACAAATGGTGATTGGGACATGATTATCTCTTCAGGAATTCAAGAAATTGTTTGTCAATTGTAGTATTAAGACCAAAACTGTAAATAAAAAAGAAAACCCAAAACGAAGCAAAATTCAAAGAATAATTTGTCAAAATTAAATGTTCACAACCTTAATAATGCTATTAATTTAGGAATTAATAACAATATCAATTTAGGAATTAATCATGCTAATAACCTTAATATTAAAATAATTTTAAAGAACAATGTTCACGACAATTAAATTAAAAGGGTTGATATCAAATGTCAAAGCTATTCCAAATAATAACTAATAGCATAGTCACCAAGTACATCAACTAAGTTTTCCACTAAATAGGAAATATAGCATCTGCCAATTTGACATAAATACTACCATGGTATTGATGTCTTATTTTTTCAAGTAAAAATTTGGGAGTTGTACCATATATGAAAAACATAACAACAAGCTAGGGTTCATAACTATTTGTTTCAAGTTTACTACTGCTTTTAAGCATTACATTACAGCTCAAGGTCAAAGTCGTTACCAAAAAAAAAAAAAAAAAGTGTAAAGGAGTCAAAGGCCGCCTAAAGGGATTCTAATAAACGGCAAGTAGTGTACAAACAAACACAAGATGTTTTATCTCATGAACGACATGTCGGTTACGATAATAGTACTAGTACATACATGGTTGCAGTCTTGCAGAGATGCTGCTGCTGGCACTGCTTCTTCATCTTTCTTTCTTTTTTTTTTTTTTTTTAAAAAAAGACGTAATTATTAGAAGTGAAAAACAACCACCGTGTTTAGAATTATTCTTGTTTTTATTTTTTATGTTTTTCAAGAAATAAAAAATAAAAAATATTTTAAAACGGTGTTTGACACAATTAAAGACAAAAAATGAAAACGAAAATGATTTTTAATTTAGTGTAAAATGAGAGAGAAATGAAATCGTTTTTCATTTTTTGTTTTCGTTTTCTCCTCTCTGAGTTGAGAGAAAGAGACATTAATGAGTTTTTTATAAAGAAAATAATATCTTAATAAAACTAACAAACGTATTTTCAAAAATGATTTTTATCTGAGATTGAAATCGTTTTTATTTCCATATTCATACAAAAAATAAAATTATTTTAGAACGAGTTCTAAACGCACCCGACGTGTTATGCGACGGAAAATCACCATTTGAAACGGCAAGACTAAATAAACGACATCAATTAACATGGTTCTTATACTTAAATGCCAGACATTTTTTGAAAATAAAATAACACGTCGTTCAGTGACCAAATAACAAATTTTTTTTTTCTTTTGGAAACAATTTCTTTTTTAAATGACAGGTTCATGAAAAAAAAGAAGGAAAAAAAAAAACACTTAATTTGTGAATTTGAAAAGAAAGTATATGATATTCGATTTTTCAGACCATTTTTGGTTGGAGGAGGTTTTGTATATTTCTATCCAAAATGTCCAATGACTCGGTCTAATTATCCGAATTCAAAAAAAGAGAGAGAAAAAGACAGTCTTGTTCCGGAAGGTTGGGGCTCTTTCTATGTAGATCTTATACTCATAGAGTTATACCGTATGTTTTTAACTGTTTAATTTGATTAAAATCATATGATTTGAAAAAATTTAGAACAAACCATTTTTTATATGAATCTGATATTGAAAAACAGAAACCTAGCAATCATGCAATTTTTTTTAAATCAGCCGTAGAAATCTCCTATTTATTTTCGTGTAAATAGTTTGTATTTAAATTACCTCTTGATTTTAGGAGATTAGATAGGAAACTTATCTCTCTTTTTTTTTTCTTGGGGGAGGGGAAACTTAATTTTTTTGAATTCTCTACAGCGTGTATACATAATCGTTAGCATGATATGGAAAAGGCTATGCCCTAATTTTCTCAGTCTAATTGTTTAATATCTGCTTAGTTTATAAAATATTCTTGGCCATACGCAACTTGGAGGTTTTGTTCTATTGGCGATTTCGTAAGTTCTCAACTTCATTATTTTGGGTTTTGAAAGATTTCTCTTGAAGCTTCTCAATGTCCACATTCATATTGACGCTTGTTTTTCCCCCTTTTCTGATCTTTCATTTTGCCTTTTGCTTCCCATATTACTTACTACAAATGAAAAAGAACACATTACTTTTCACGACATACTTACTACAACATAAACACATTCCTTTGTCACGGAGTAAAAATAAAACATAGTAAAGTCAACAATCCCAATATGAAAGGTGAGCAATATGTGAACATAAAAACAGTCATTTTCATTCGGAAAAGATGAAATGGACAGCTATTATCCGATATGCAACTCTCTCCAGTTCACACAAAAACAATGTTTCATTTTTGCATTATTCTAGCATAAAACGGTATTGTTTTCATCTCAGTTTCCGTGGATGGAAAATTAGAGACTAATTGAAACATATATGAAAAACGCAGCAACAAGCTGAGAGACAAAGATATGGAGAGTGGAGAGTCCTGTGCCCCACAAAATACTAATTCGAAAGCCGAATAGAATAGAGTTCCTACTTCATAACCATTGGTTTATAAAGGAAAGGACCTGAAGAGGGGTACTACTGCCACTCAGAAATTGACAAATTGCTTTTCCTTCAAGCTTTCCACAGTTTCTTTGAGGCCGGTTTTCAATGGAATGAAGTCAATACCCAAGCTCGTCGCCTTTTCCTTGGACACCTGATAGGTTGGCATAAATAGTTTGTCATCTGCACACCTGCCAATTTCATTCAAAGTTGATGAAAGCGTAATGAATATTAAGCATATGCAACACATAAAAAGAACATGAAGTTTAGCTGACTATGTGAATACTATCTAAATCCTTAAAAATTAGGATATATCATGGAGAACAAATTTCAGCCGCCAGATGATGAAAAGAAACAACCTCAGCTGTTAAAAAGAAAGTAGTCAGCTTTTAGCTGAAGAATTTTGACAGTTCAGATAACTTCTATTCATCACCCAATGGCTGAAATTGAGCTTCATGGTACATCCCAAAAAAATTGGATGTGATGTATAGCTTCTTCTGACTGTTTGTCGTTTGCATTAAAGTAAGAAGGAAACAAGAGAACTTACTTCTCCGGAAGTGGTAACGATGGGTAGAGCTCACGTAGGAGTCTTACAATTTCCGAGTAGTGGGCAACGCTCTCAACCAAACAATATCTTCCACTAGCTGAAGGGACCTCATACGCCAGAATATGCGCATTGGCGACATCTTTGACATTGACCCATCCAAGAGTAAAATTGAGAAACGTTTGTGCTCCTGCATCAAACAGACAGATGAAGAAACCATCACCAAATTCATATCATGCAAGAAGAGATATCTAGAAAATCAGAAGCTGCTTGGTTACCGTATTTCATTAAGATCGATGTAAATGGAATAACAATACGAGTTTCATCATTCGTCAATGAAGCAGATCCTTATAAACTTTGTTGATAATCAAAAAAGAGAAAGTACCATTTATTAAGTTCAAAATGGCGGCAGCACTTGTGTTTAGAGTTGGTTGTAACAGAGGACCAATCACCATTGCCGGGTTCATTGTAACCAGGTCAATACCCTTCTCTTTTACGAACTTCCAAGCAGCGTCCTCAGCCAAAGTCTTCGAAAGCACGTACCATTGCTAGAAGCAAAGAGATGAAAGAAAGCCACAAAAAACATAATTATGGTGCAAGCAACTCTCACTGCTAACTAATTTCCATTTCCTTAGTCGATAAAGATAAAGAAGTAAAGTCCCCAAATAAGAAAGATTTTCCGAGGTACACAAACCTTTTAACGATTAAAACAGGTAAACAACATTTATTTAACAAGTTAATAATCATCACTGTTTCTACATTTGGAAAGACCATGAAGAAGAGTATTGGCCCATACCTTTAATTCCTTACAAATATCTGGATCTGAAAACCAGGTCTCATCAACTATCACATCTGGAGTTCGGGGCTTCCCATTGTATGAAACTGCAGCTATGGAAGACGTCAAAACCACCCGTTTAACAGATGAAGACTTTGCACAGGAGTTAAGAACATTAAGCGTTCCCTTCACGGCAGGATCAAGTAATTCTGCCTGAAAACAAGGCAGCATATCGAATAAATTTAACTTGCGCCCACGCACACACACACAAAAAAAGGGACTTCTTTTATTTCTTTATTATTAGAGAGTTTTCTAGAATGTTTGCTTATATTGATCTGATATTGCAAGCTACGGCAGCAACATTGAGTATGTTTGGTAGGAAAGAAAAGTAGAAGGAAGGAAGAAGGTGGAGGAATTTTGGGAGGGAAAATGAAAATGTAGGTTGTTTGGTAGTAGAGAGAAGAGAAAGGAAGAGAAAATGGAGTGGAAAATAATACATGTGGACCCACCATTTTTTTTCTTTCCACAAGTGGGCAGAAAATGAGATGGAAAATGGGGACAACTCATTAAAGTGAGCAAAGTTACTAAACTACCCTTTTCTCCATCAACATCCAAGCAAAAAATTTAAGGGTATAAAAGTAATTTACTAGTAAGATCTTTTCTTTCCTCCCAATTTAACTTCCAATACCAAACAAGTGAAGGTAAGCTCATTTTCTTTCCATCTTCTCATACCAAACAACATAAAAAAAAATCAATTTCCTTTCCATCACTTCCATATTTCCTTTCTATCCTATTTTCTTTCCTTCCTACCAAACATAGTTAAGGAGAGGAGATAGCGAAAAATATTTAAATTTAAAAGAAAATAAAGAAAAAATAGTTAAAGGAAGCAGATGATGCTTACTAGATTATTTGCTTAGAGATCATTCTAAGGACGTTTCACAGACTAATGTAAGGTTATTTGGAAGGATATAGATTGTATGTGGTTCCATAGTTCCCCAATGCTTACTCTATCTTAAATGATTCTTTGCTGTTGTCAACAAAATTCTCAACTACATAAAGAAACACCTAAATTAACCCAGTTGGGGAAAATGGAGAGGGAGAAGAGAGCATTTTGTGTTGGGTATGATTCTCTTCTCTAATCCCTCTATGTTGCGAAAGAGTAAAAGCGGGATTCTTCGAAGCAATCGTTCACCAAATCCACTCCCTACTCTTTTCCCTTTTCAACCAAACAACGATAGGTCCCAAAATCCTTTCACTAAAATCTTTTCACACCCATCCCTCCTAGTTTTTTCCCTCCTACTAAAAAAGCACTAAGTTCATAAATACCAACAAAACAAGAAGGAAAAAAGAGTAGTAGCAGATGAAAAGAAAACCTCTGGGTCTTTGACATCATGATAAAAGGGAGATGCGGTGTGAAAGACACCTTCAGAGCCTTCAATAACAGAGTCGAAGGAACCTTCTTCCAGTAAGTCTGCTTTGAAAAGCTGGAGTCTTTCCTTAGCCCCATCAAGTGAAGTTAAGTGAGCTGTTTTCTTTTGATCATCTATGCAACAAAATACAGCTGAATTAGCTCAACTATCCCTTTCAAAATCACCATCTAATCTATTAAGTAAAAGGTTAACAAAACTAAGAATATTATAGCTAATACAGGACAAAAACCACCCCAATCAAAACCCAGCACCAAGTTTTGCAAGTCACCAGCACCAAGTTATGCCAGCTCAATTTCCACAATTTCTCAACCTCATTAGCTGTCGATAACCCACTTCACTTTCCTATTTTCCCCCACAAATGTAGTAACAAAATACACATTAGACATAAAAACGAACAAATATTAAAATCAAAAAGAATATCACGAAACCGGAAATGTCCAAGGAACAAACGCCGTCAGAGACTCAGAAAACAATAGTAATAATTAAAAAAAAAAACAAAACACTTTTTACGTCTTATTCCAATTTACATCCATATTATATAAATATATTATATTATTTCGCTTAAACATAAATTCACCAAATCTGACAAATCCATCAAAAGCTTCAATGAAAACACTTGTAATCAGGCATAATCTCAGTGGCCGATGGGTAAAGCTCATATTGAAAGGAATAGAAAGATTCGAAGATGGCGAAAATCAAGAGGGTCATATATTCATATTCATGCACTAAGAAAAAGAGAGAGAGAGAGAGGGAAAGAAAACTGACTTGGATCGCGAACAGAGGCTTTGACAGTGTAACCGCGTTGAAGAAGAAACTTGACGAGCCATGACGCTATGTAACCGGACGCTCCGGTTACGCACACCACCTTCCCTGCTCCGGTCACGATGCTGCTCATCCTTTTGGCTTCTCTCTTCTCACTGCTCTCTCTGCTTCTTTACGACTGTCTCTTTATTATATTATTATTATTTTTCTTTTGCCGTTTCAAACTTGGGCTTAGCTTTCGTGTAAACCTTCTTAAAGGCTCAATTAATGTGCAATTATTTTATTCTTGAATTTTCCACCTTTTATTTTTGGGATTTTTTACTGTTAGTTTTTTAACATTAAAATCTCATTAAGTTTGAATTAAAAACTTATTGTTATAAATCTAGCCATAAAAAAATAATCTAATCATAAAAAACAGTACTTACGTTGAAATTTTTTTTTTTGAATTTCACGGTAAAGAATCCCTTTATTTTTATCCATGTTCCGCAAAGGCAACTGCTGCCGTAATGGTGGGACCATGAAGCAGACACGTGAAATAAACGAGATTCAGGACTCGTTTATTTTACAGATTTAAATTTTTAATTTGAATTGAGATATAATATTTTTTGAGAGTTTTTTATTATAATAAAAAAAATTAAATGTGATATTTTTTAAAAATTTTTTATTATAAAAATTTAAAACTGAAAACTCAAATCGGTGAAGTGAACGAGTAACCAATGATTTCCATGGAAGCATAACACAAAAATAGAACGTGCAGGCTGCAGAGTTGATTGCGGCAAAAAAAAAAAAAAATGCACTAACTGTGCTTGAACAGTTGAACTTTTAATAGGGGTTTTTTAATCCCTTCACTTTAATTTTAGCAAAACAACCCTCAAAAAGTAAAGCTCTTGTGCTTGTTAGTTGCATTTTTGAATTACAGTAATTTGAGTACAAATTTTAAATTAAATTTAAGTTATAATATGAGTTAAAATTCTAACTTAAATTTATGTTTAATTGTGTATATTTAAATTATGATTTAAGATAAAAATCTTTTTAAGTGGGAGTTTTAAATAGTAAGGAGAAAAACAACAAGAAGCTAGGGTTCATAACTATTTGTTTTATCAAGGAAAGGACATGGAGAATATACTATTGCCACTCAGACATTGACAAATTGCTTTTCCTTCAAGCTTTCCACAGTTTCCTTGAGGCTGGTTTTCAATGGAATGTAGTCTATTCCCAAGCTCTTTGCCTTTCCCTTTGACACCTGATATGTTGGCATAAATGGTTTATCATCTGCACACCTGCCAATTTCATTTCAAAATTGATAAAAAAAAAAAAAAAAAAAAAAACGAAGGAAATATTGTAGTGAATATTATTGGATATGCAATAGATGAAAAAAGAACATGTAATGAAGCTGACCGTTTGTGTGAATACTGTGTACATCCTAAAAGATTAGGATGCATCACAGAGCCCAAATTTCAGCCACTGGATGATCGAATGAAACTGTCTCGGGCGTTAAAAAAGAAATTTTCGATAGTCTAGAGCGTTTCTTTTTATCACCCAATGGCGGTAATTGGGCTTCATGGTACATCCTAATCCCAAAGAATAGTATGAATTGTGTAACGTCTTCTAACTCTATCGTTTAGTTCGTTGATTCGAGTTTTTAATTCGATTTGAGACGTGACTTTATGTGAGAGCTTTTTACTGTAGTAAAAAAGTTATATGTGACTGTTTTTAAAAATTTTTTACTGTAATAAAACTCGAATTCTAAACTGAAATCGGTGAAATGAACATAACATTTGTAATTTGTGCTAAAGACCCTGTATGATAAGAAGTCCAAAAAGTATGAAGGAAACAGGGAGAACTTACCTATCGGGAAGTGGTGCAGATGGGTAGAGCTCTCGTAAGATTCTCACAATTTCTGAGTAGTGGGAAACGCTCTCAACCAAAACATATCTTCCACTAGCTGAAGGGACTTCATACGCCAGAATATGAGCATTGGCGACATCTTTGACATTCACCCATCCAACAGTAAAATTCGGAAACGTTTGTGCTCCTGCATTAAACAAACACAGATGTTTTGTTAGGATATCTCATTAAGATTAATGATGTAAGTAAATAACAAATCGAGATTTGTCACTCATCATCAATGAAGCGGATCCTACAAACTCTGTAGATAATTAGCAAAGAGCAAGTACCATTTATTAAGTTCGAAATGACAGCAGAACTTGCATTTAGAGTTGGCTGTAACAGAGGACCAATCACCATTGCCGGGTTGATTGTAACCATGTCAATACCCTTCTGTTTTACAAACTTCCAAGCAGCGTCCTCGGCCAAAGTCTTTGAAAGCACGTACCATAGCTAGAAAACATCATTATTGTATAAGCAACCGCTAACTGGTAACTGAATTTTCATTTCAACAGTAGATAAAGATAAATAAGTATTGTCCCTAAATAGGAAAGACTTCAAAGCTTGTAACAATTAAAACAGGTTAACAGCGAGCGAAAACATTTTCATTCAACGCATTGCCATAAATCATGACAATTCAACGTGCATCTGTTTCTACATTTGAAAAGTCCACTAACAAGAGTATCATGTGTTGACGGTTGAAATTCGTCACCAAAGATAAGTCAAATTTAAAGACGGATAACGTGATTTTGGAGATCAAGAATGTGATTAAGAAAGATTAAAAGAAATCAGAAAATATGAATACGTAGATTTATAGTGGTTCACTCTTTTGTTCAAGAGCTATGTTCACTGTGAGAAGGAGAGAAATTCACTGAAAAAATGATTACAGAATGTCCCTCGGAGCTTGTCCTTTCTACCTTTAATTCCTTACAAATGTCTGGAATTGAAAACCAGGTCTCATCAACTGTCACGTCTGGAGTTCGGGGCTTTCCAGTGTATACAACGGCAGCTATGGACGATGTCAAAACTACACGTTTAACAGATGGTGACTTTGCGCAGGCGTTAAGAACATTAAGCGTTCCCTTAATGGCAGGATCAAGCAACTCTGCCTGTAAAGAGGCAGACAGATATAAACAAGACTTCCGAAGAGAATAATTCAACTTAGACACACAAAGAAAGGGGGCAAAAGAAATTCTCTATTATCGTTAGAGAGTTCTGTAGAACCTTTGCAATTGAACATATTGAAAACATGTAACAGAAAGAAATATAGAAAGATATTTGTACATATGATTCCATGGTTCGCCAATGCTTCTTCTATATCAAAGATTCTTTGCCATCATCAACAAAATCCTCAATCACAGAAGAAAACACCTAAAATAACTAAGTTCACAAAACAACAATAATAATTTAAAAAAAAAAAAAAAAAAAGCGATAGGAGATGGAAAGAAACCTGTGGGTCTTTGACATCATTAGAAAAGGGAGATGCGGTGTGAAAGACACCTTCAGAGCCTTCAACAGCGGAGTCAAAGGCACCTTCTTCAAGCAAGTCTGCTTTGAAAAGCTGGAGTCTTTCCTTAGCCCCATCAAGTGAAGTTAAGTGAGCTGTTTTCTTTCGATCGTCTATTGTTAAAAAACACAACTGAATTAGCTCGAGTTTCCAACTTAAAAACCACCACCTTATCTACTAACTATAAGCTTAATGAAGAGTAAGCATTTTTATTGCTAATACAGGACAATAACCACCCCAATATTTTAATTACTATTACTACATCCAAACACCTTTTAGGTGTTATTCCACGTTATATCCATAATATTATATTACTATTACCAGCGATCACTATTCACCAAATCTCGAAAACCCATCAAAAGCTTCAATGAACATTTTTAATCTGAGATGGGCAAGCTTAAAATGAACAGAAAGAAAGAGTCGAAAAAATGGCGAGATAAGATTAGAGGGAGAAAAAGAAATACTAACTTAGATCACGAACAAAAGCTTTGACAGTGTAACCGCGTTGAAGAAGAAACTTGACGAGCCATGACGCTATGTAACCGGACGCTCCGGTTACGCACACTACCTTTCCTGCACCCGTCACGTTGCTGCTCATCCTTCTTCTCCGATCTGATCTGTGCTTATTTTCAGTTGACTTTTTTTTTCTTTTTTTTTTTTGCCGATTCAAAAGTTGGGTTTAGCTTGGGGTAAGCCTGATTAATTATCTTGCATTTTAATCTTTGTTTTTGTTTTTTTTTGTCGTATACGACAAGGCAACTACGCCTGTAATGGTGGGACCATGATCAGCCACGTGGAACAGATATGGGAGTTTGTTATTTTATCGGATCAGAACGTTGCGATCATACGATTAGTGAGTATATTATAAAGTTGACGATGAGTGCAAGGGAAAATAATAATAATAATAATTGCCGTATGTTTACTACGTTGCTATTGCTTTTTAGTTGTCGTCGTTTATTTAAGTTGACATCGTTTTTTTGTTGTTGCCGTTTGTTTAAGAATATCGACCGCGTTATTTATTTCAAAATAATTTTATTTTTTATATAAAAATAAAAATGAAAACGTTTTTAATTTCAGACAGAAATAATTTTTAAAAATGCGTTCGGTAATTTTATTAAAAGATTATTTTTCAGTGTAAAAAAATCTATTAATATCTCTTTTCTCTCTCTGCTCGAGAGAGGAGAAAATGAAAATAAAAAATGAAAAACATCTAAAAATTATTTTTCATTTCTCTCTCATTTTACACTAAATTAAAAAATTATTTTTATTTTTATTTTTTATTTTTATTACGTCAAACAGCGTTTTAGAAAAGTTTTTATTTTTTTTGGCCATCGCTTTTCAGTTGTTGTCGTTTATTTAAGTTGATATCGTTTTCAGTTTTTGTCGTTCTATGTTGATTTATTCTCGATTCACAATCGGCCCCCTCCGGTTTGGCCAACAGCGGCTACCGGTATGAAAAATGCTTTTTATTCAGATGGAAAAAAATCTCCGTAAATACTAGAGATGGCCCCACATGGTGGGCCCACGTAAACCCACCAGTCAGGTCCACCTCTTGCGTTTGTTGACGGGAATTGGGACAAATAAAACCGCTCCAACAGAATATCATCTCCTCTACCTGCGTTAAACACGCGCACACAAAAAGGAAAAGAAGAAGAAGAAGAAGACACGACAAAACAAAGCAAATAGTTCATAATTTAATTAAAAACAAAGAGTTTATTATCTTTCTTTTGTACTTATTAAAAAACAATTTCATGCACTTATCGACCGTCGACATTATAATTACTTGATGGTCGATAAGGGCATTAAATAGTTTATAATTTAATTTAAAGAATTTTTAGAATTTCCACGTAAAGAAAATAATATAGCACGCTTATCATAAAGTTAATACATCATAGACTGAAATAAAAAAATTAATGTCGCTATTAATATATGTACTTCCTTAATTTAGAATGCATCTTACTTAAAAAAATAAATAAATAAAATAAAAACCTCATAGATTGAAGCAAGAAGGGAACTTCCACAACTCAATAGAAACATGTTTTTTTTTTAATCACTTAATTAAATTTCTAATAGTTACACAATCATATTTGTATCAAGTTGTGTCTATTTTATGTGTGTGTATATATATATATATCGATTTTTTAATGTTGCTATCTTTAACCTTCATAAACGTGCACTAGGAAAGGCTTAGTAAAATCAATACATAAAGATGAAGTTCTAATTTAATTATTTGTAAAAGCAACAAGCTGAGAGACAGAGAGTTGGAAACTGCTGTGCCCACAAAGTAGCTATTCAGAGGCAAAAGAGAAAATGGTTCACTATAACCATTTGTTTATTACGGAATAGACATTTTGACAGTATTAATTACTAGTAGTGAGGCTCAGAAGTTGGCAAACTGCTTTTCCTTCAAGCTCTCCACAGTTTCTTTGAGACCAGTTTGTATTGGAATGTAGTTGATACCCAGGCTCTTTGCCTTTTCCTTGGACACCTGAAAAGTTGGGGCGAAAGGCTTGTCGTCCGCGCTCCTGCCAAAGTCATTTCAAATTTCCATTATTCGGCGTACGACACGTGAATGAGAAAACTATTGCCTCAAATTAACATTAGGCGCGTTTGAAACTCGTTTCAAAATAATTTTATTTTTTATATGAAAATAAAAATGAAAACGTTTTTAATTTCAGATAGAAATTATTTTTAAAAATGTGTTTAGTAATTTTATTTATAGATTATTTTCAGTATAAAAAACCCATTAATGTCACTCTCTCTCTGCTCGAGATAGGAGAAAACGAAAACAAAAAATAAAAAACGACTAAAAGTCATTTTTCATTTCTCTCTTATTTTACACAAAACTAAAAAATCATTTTCATTTCCGTTTTTTGTCTTTATTGCGCAAAACGCCACTTTGAAAACGTTTTCATTTTTTCTTTCTCGAAAAACATGAAAAATAAAAACGGAATCAATTTCAAACACGGCCATTGTTCTCCAATTGCATTGGCATTGGCCATTTAGTACTCATATGATACACTTTTCTTTTGGATTTGAGCGTTGGGGATTTAAACTCCGAGATGGAGTTAAGTGTGTATATATCGTTATGCCATGCTTGCAATCACCTCGTATGACATATTTGGTTTGAGAAGGAAACGACTTACTTCTCTGGAAGGCGTAAAGCAGGGTAGAGCTCACGCAAGATTCCCACAACTTCCGAGTAGTGGCAAACTCTCTCAACCAACAAGTACCTTCCACTAGCTGAAGGCACCTCAAATGCTTGAACATGTGCATTGGCGACATCTTTGACATGAACCCATCCAAAACTAAGATTAGGAAATGTTTGTGCTCCTACATTAAACAGAAACAAACAAGCCAAGTCAAACAATCATATACCTTCATGGAACAAGAATTTCTGCAAGTCACACTAGAAAAGCAGAAGCCGTTTGCCTAAAATATCTAATTAAAATCAATGTAATTGACTAAACAAGACGGCAAGTTTCACGATTGATCAATGCAGTAGGCAAAAGATGCACAGTAAGTTTAATAAGCACCATTTATTAAGTCCAAAATTGCAGAAGCGCTTGTGTTTAGCGTTGGTTGCAGCAGAGGACCGATAACCATTGCCGGGTTGATTGTGACCAAGTCGATACCCTTCTCTTTAACGAACTTCCAAGCAGCCTCCTCGGCCAAAGTCTTTGAAAGCACGTACCATAACTAGAAGCAATGAAAGCAAGGAAAGACACCCAAAAAAAAATTATTCATTGTATGTATATAATATAATGCTAACCGTAACTGATTTCCACTTTGTTTGTAAATGTAACCGTAGAATGATAAAGCAGTAAAAGTCCTTGAACGAGACAGATCATTTCAAAGCATGTTCATTCATTTAACATAGTCAACCTGCGTTGATGTTCTTAAGTTTAGAAATAACATGGAGAACAATATTGCTCCCATATATACCTTCGATTCCCTGGCAATATTTGGATCTGTAAACCAGGTCTCGTCAACTACCACATCGGGAGTTCGAGGCTTTCCATTGTATGCAACAGCGGCTATTGACGATGTCAAAACTACCCGTTTAACAGATTTCGACTTTGAACACGAGCTTAGAACATTAAGTGTTCCCTTTATTGCAGGTTCAAGCAATTCTACCTGAAAGGAGGAGAACACTTTAAGTGCCGTGGAAAACAAGGAAGCAGAGTGAAATGATTAAGGGACTTATTTCTTTTTTCTATTACAGCAAATTTCTCTATAGAAGTATATGTGTGTTACTGTGTACAGCCAAGCACCATTAACAATCGGTAAAAGTTGATTCCGGCAGGGAGCTTGAACTAACTATCAATCTTGTCCAATATTGCGAGGAACGTCAACGTTATTCGAAAAAAAAAAAAGGCGAGAGAAAAAAATATTCAGAAGGAAAGCAAAGAGAAAATAGCTAATGGAAGCAGAAAAGTGCTGCTTATTTAGTTTATTTACTTGGTTATCATCCTAAAGATGTTTACATACTAATATGACATGATGTTTTGTTAGTTCTGAGTTAACAAACGCAGTACAACGTTTCTTTTTTATAAAGAGATTATGCTAAACGGCTCCAAACTGGAGTTATTTGGTTACTCACTCACATGATTTGATTCTTTGCCTTCATCAACAGAAATAATTGTTAACCACACAAGGAAACAATTAAAACTATCTAATATCATTAAAAAAAAATAGAGAGAAAAAAAAAACACAAAAATTAAGTTATAGGAAATGAACCTCTGGGTCCTTGACATCATGAAAAAAGGGAGATGCAGTGTGAAAGACACCATCACACCCTTCAATAGCGGAGTCAAATGAACCTTCTTCCAGTAAGTCTGCTTTGAAAAGCTTGAGCCTTTCCTTGGCCCCATCAAGTGAAGTTAAGTGGGCTGTCTTTTTTGCATCATCTATGTAACAAATAAAATTGAATTATCCCAAGTAATAATTTCACTCACCATCTAATAAACAAAAGGTTAAGAAAACCAAAATTGTGCCAGCATAATTTCCACAATTTCAATCTCTCTCTGTCTTTTTTTTCCCCTTCTTACTTTACTTGAACCCAGATTCACCAAATACTTTGCCATCAATCATATAAAAAGCCAAAAACAAAGAGAGAGAATACTGACTTGGATCGCGAACGGAGGCTTTGACAGTGTAACCGCGTTGAAGAAGAAACTTGACGAGCCATGACGCTATAAAACCGGACGCTCCGGTTACACACACCACCTTCCCTGCTCCCGTCACGTTGCTGCTCATCCTCCTTCTTCTCTCTCTCTCTCTCTCTCTCAATCTCTGTTTTTTATTTTTTATTTTACCCTCTTTTAATTGATTTTGCATTTTCCTGTTCTGTTTTTGTTCTTGTTCGGCTAATGGCAACTATCCCGCAATGGAGGGCCCACGTGTTAGCCGATATCAACGTATCTCAAGGCCCACAAATATGGATAAGTTACTTCATTATTGAACAGCAGATGGCAACATGACAACTTACTTCTGCCGCAATATATTTTTGCCGACTCTTATAGTATTTTATGCCTATTTAATTTATTAATTTAAATTTTTAATTTGAGTTAAAATATAATTTTATATAAAAAAAATTTATTATAATAAAAAAATTAAATGTGATTATTTTTAAAAAATTTTAACTATAATAAAACTTAAAATTTAAACTTAAATTGATAAAATAAACGTAATATTTGTCTCGCTATTGTAGGGGGAAAAAAACACACCCCCACAACAAATTTTATTGCTATTTGTTTTTCGTAGAATAGGTACTGTATTCCGACTGACTGATGATTCCTGAAAAGGAATGTACTATAAGTAAATGGGTGGCTTTGTGGATATTAACCTTTTGTTCTTTTTTAATTTAGGTCCCAAAAATAATAATAATAATAATAACAACAACAACAGCACTACTAACAGCATGAAAAATATTTGTGTAGTACCTACTATGGGAGATAATCGCAAGCCTAGAAAAGATGTGCTACTTAGGAATAGGATTTAATAATGGGAATAAGAAAAATATTAACATTATTTTTTTTATCACTCTTCATTATCTGACATTTCTAACATTGCGACCTAATGAAAAGGACACGAACCAAATTAATTTCAAAGTCGACAAAAATTAATGAATAAAAAAATATAGAACTTCAAACATAAAAAGAAGATGTCGGATAAAAACTGACTGTTTTGACTGTTGCATTAAAGCTTCATGATAAGAGTTGAAGTGAGAAAAGAGAACTTGCTTTTGTGGAAACTTGGGAAATACTTGTAGAAATGAAACAGATTTCTGACAGCTTCGTTCAAAAACTTGATGATTATTAGTGAAGAACAAGTACCGTTTATGAAGTTCAAGATTATGGCAGCATTTGTGTTTAGAGTTGGTTGTAACATAGGACTAATCACCATGCAGGCCGGGGTTGATTTTTGTGACCATGCTAATTTAAACGTCCGTCCATGACAGTATTAGTTGGAGGATGTCAAAACCACCTGTCTAATAGACGAGGACTTTGGCCTAAGACCATTTGATCTAGTAGTACCGGGGGTTTAGGTGGGATGGAATTTGGGAGAGTTTGCGGGTTCAATCCCGAGCTTTAAAAAAAAAAAGGAGGGGACTTTACACATTGAGAAAATGACATTTAGTACATGTATTCAGAATCATGATTCAGAATTATTCTCAATTTACGTGTGTTTTTTGTGAAAAAAAATACTGTAGTGAACTACGAATCATGATTCAAATCATGACATGAATACACTAACTAAACGCAAGTAACACTTGAATAAATTAATGCAGGATCAAGTAGTTCTGCCTGGAAAAAAGGGAAAGACCTCAAGCAACAGATTGAATAAATTAATTTCCAAAAGGTCAATTTTGTGTCTCTGTTACAATAACCTTTTCAGAATATTGCAATAGAAGCACACATTTAACAGCTACAGATATATAACTTCATTGAAATTTGTTTGGAAGATCCCTTGCCTTCATCAACAAAAAATAGTTCTCAACCATCAAAGGAAACACCTAGATTATGTAAGTTGCTAACTGAAAAGAAAAACACATAAAAAATAAAAGGGGGAGGCTGTATGAAAACCACCTTCACGCCCATCAAGAACAGAATCAAAATAACCTACTTTCATTAAGTTTGCTTTGAAAAGCTGGAGCCTTTCTTTAGGATCCATCAAGCGAGACTATAGTGATCTGTTTTTTTTGAATCATCTGTGAAACGAGAAATTACTTAATACTCTGAGTGTATATGTTATCGTATTTATATAGTACATCCGTCTAATAAATGAGTGACATTAGAATGATTTGTTTAGAGATGTCAAAAGGGCCGTGCCGACCTTCTAACCCCAGGCCCATGGCGGGCCCGGGCCGTGCCGGCACGGCCCTGCACAGTGCAGGGCCGTGCCAGGGCCGGGCCTGAGGAGAAACCCTCAGGCCCAGCACTGGCCCTTGGCCCTAGTCCATGAGGGCCAGGGCCGGGCCTGGGCCCAGGCCCTTCACGGGCCGGCCCTAGCCCTTTTAATTTTTTTTCAATATTTAATGAAAAAAAAGAAAATATATCATATGTCCTCAAAAGATGTGATTTTATTGAATTAAGATAATACAAATAAGTACACATAAATGATCAACTCATTAAAAACCTTGTCAAGTAAATCTCGTGGGGAGATCGGGACAAAACCTTAGCGAAGGAAAAAAGAGTGCAGTATTTTAGGATAAGTAAATTACAAAACCTAAGTGCTTCTAGAAGATTCTGTTATGTCTAAACTCAATCTTAACCTAATTTTCTTAATGCACTTGAGTTTCACTTATGATTAGCAATATTTTTAGGATTTTTTTTAATTTCAAATTTGATGACAGAAAAAAGTAATATATCATATGCCCTAAAAATGTGATTTTATCGAATTAATATGAATACGTGCCTGGGCCTTGGACGGGCCTGGGCTGCGGGCCTCAAACATGAGGCCCAACCCAGGCCCTTCTGACGTGCCGTACCGGCCCGGCCCATAACAGTACAGAACCGGACCGTGTCGAATTTACTACTGTAGCGGGCTGGGCCGGGCCGTCCATGGACAGCCCGGCCCAATTGACACCTCTAGATTTGTCAATGTTAATTATTAGTCATCTTCCTCTCTCTTATTAAGTTTTACATTAATTGCTTAGTTATAAGTACATAAATGCTCTCCTTTCAAAGAAAAAAAAGTACATAAATGCTCTCCTTCAAAGAAAAAAAAGTACATAAATGCTCTGTCTAAATTTATTAATTTTAATTTATTAAATAACTTTATTCTTTATTATTAAAGATATATATTATTTTTTACACTTAATTGATTTAGAAAACTGAAAAAAAAAAAACGTTTAAGTACGATTTGTTGCTTATTGTATACATATATATATGCAGCGCATGTTTTCTAAATATTTGATAAAAAAAAAAAAAAACTATTTATTCTCCATATATATAACTATAGTTTGCGTAATTGTTTGCTATTTATTCACAAAACTGATAGGCTATGCTATATATTTTTACAACCCAATTTGTTTGATTAGGTTTACTCTTCATCACAAATTAAAAAAAAAAAAAAACAAAAGTTATTGAGGTGTGTTTAAACTTAAATAAAAGTGCAAAACACTCAAAAAAAAAAAAATTTTGAACACAACGAAACAATCATAAGTTCCTAATGTTGAGAATAGTGTCCTAAAAGTATGATATATAATATGATATTTATTATTTGTTTAATAAAATAGTTTATTTATTATTTTATGTGCATATATTATTGAATATTTTATGAATATCGTTGAAAATTTTGTAATTATTTAAGTGGCCTTGATGTTTGTGATGAATTTAATTAAAGTTTAGAATTTTTAATTAAAACATTACTAATACATGTCATTTCCATTTAGAATGAAATGGTGTTATCGTATTGTTAATATGATGAAATATTAAATAAGTGTATTATGCATGATGAGATTATGTGGAACCGGGACACATATACAATATGAATTTTTGATAATTTATGTTAAGTATAAAAATTCTAATTAGTTTACCGATAGTCATATATAGAACGATCTTAATCCTGAGTTATTAGCAGACTCCTATTTATGAATTTATGTCTTTTGATTTACTCAGTATGAATTCTGAAATATTAAATCATATTCCTTGTATTTTGAAGACATGATGAAATGAGTAGTTGAGAATATTATTATACAAGATGGAATCCATTATTTCTTGAGAAATAAGCAGATAAATAATTCTCATGAGGATTGATTCGGTACTTAGACTAGTAGGAGCTTCGATTCATGAATTTTTTTTATGAATCATTGTCTATTAGAGAATCAATGACACTCAAGGATAAGGATGTAATTAGAGAGGTTAACATATTTCACCTGGCTCTAATTATAAATTATTTATGGAGGATTGATGTATATGTAATAACTATATCAAATAGACACTTCACAGTTTAGAAGTAAATTATATCTATAATCACAAGAGTGTAATTCTAAGTTTATAGTGGAGTAACTTTTAGAATTAATAAAATTAATTAATTAAAATATTTTAATTAATTATTAATTTTATTGGTGCTCAGAATTATAGATCCATAAGTCTCCGTGTCATCCTTGTAATCCTTCAAGACACTAAGGGTAAAATAGAAATTTTAGAATTATGGAATTCTAAATAGAACACTCAAGAATAATTAATTATAAATTAAATAATGTGATTATTTAAATTTAAATTTTAGAACACACATGTGGAGGAGTCTACATGGTGTACACACCATGCACAATGGGAATCCCCCTAGATTCAGTTGTTTGCTCTATAAGTTATCCAATTGACTTATTTGATAAGTTATCTATAAATAAGAGATTGCAGAAAATTGGAAAGCACAAATTTTTGCTCTCCCTAGCATAGTGTGGCTAAATTTTATAGAGTGATGAAAGGACAATTTTTCTCTCAAATTTTACGTCGTGCATGTGTTGATGTTCGTGGAATACTTGAGTGTTTATTTGTTAATCTCGTTTTGTTTTAAGTGTTCCCACACACACCTCTTCGTATATTCAAGGAATTGACGGGAGAATATTCGGGTATTCTAAGCAAGCTTAGAACGAGAAACGTTCGTGGTCAAAACACTCAAGTTATCGACTTAATCGTTCGCTAGATAAATTTATTCATAAATTAATTTAATTAATTTATTTGTGCATAAATTAATGTAATCTATAGAATATCTCAAAGGTTTATTAAAATTTTTATTATACACGATCCGCTAAATATACACTTTTGCAAAGAAAATCATTTTTAAAACCAACAGTTAACATGTTAAAGTTTTTATTTTCAAGTTTCTAAAAATTATTATTCTTTTAAGAACTAAGCATAATATTATTTGAAAGTGGACATAAATTAATGTAGGAGCTTTTAAAAAGAGTATTTATGGTAATTATAATTGAATAATAAAAACTAATCATATTAAGAAAGAGAAAGATTATTAGATAGAATTAATATTGATTATTAGATAGAATTAATATTGATAAATTACTCACATGTCAATTGTTAATTAGATGGGTGTATCACGTACGCACGATGACGTGATACACCTAAAGTACTGAATAATTCCTCCTGTGAAATAATGGATAAACACAACTAAATTTGCTCAGTTGCTCATGTAATCGTCCACTTGATAAGTTACTAAACACTGTCATAATTATCTACAAATTAATAAAATGTTGAGACAAACTTAGAATTAGAAATGTAGGAGCTTTTACAGAGAATATTTATGGTAATTATAACTGAATAATAAAGATTAATCCTATTAGGAAAGAAAAGATGATTAGATGGAATTAATATTGATAAATTACTCACATGAGAATTGTTAATGATGTGGTACACCTAAAGTATTGAATAATTCCTCCTGTGAAATAATGGACTAAATTTGCTCAAATGCTCATGTAATTGTCCACTTGATAAGTTACTAGACACTGTCATAATTGTCTACAAATTAATAAAATGTTGAGATAAACTTAGAATTAGAAGCCATAAATTAGTATCCAAATTTTTAATATAATACTTACCTGTCGCCTCTTTCTGTTTTTAAATCCAAATATAAGTAAAATTACTTCAAGCATATCCAAAAAAAAAAAAAAAAATCTAGTCACAATCTTAAGCACCACTTTCTACTTGCCACTTTCAACTTTCATCTCTTTTTAACTTCACGAGTTAAACGACAGGTGAATCCTATGTTGTTTGGTAGGAAGGAAAAAAAATAAGATAAAAAGAAAATATGGAAGTGATGGAAAATAACAATGATGGAAAAGAAATTAATTTTCTTTTATGTTGTTTGGTATGAGAAGATGGAAAGAAAATGAGCTTACTTTCCCTTGTTTGGTATTGGAAGTTAAATTGGGAGGAAATAAAAAATCTTACTCGTAAATTACTTTTATACCCTTAAATTTTTTGCTTGGATGTTGATGGAGAAATGACAGTTTAGTAACTTTGCTCACTTTAATGAGTTGTCCCCATTTTCTGCCCACTTGTGAAAAGAAAAAAAATGGTGAGGCCCACATATATTATTTTTCACTCTATTTTCTCTTACTTTCTTTTCTTTCTCTTACTAAACAACCTACATTTTCGTTTTTCCTCCCAAAATTCCTCTACCTTCTTCCTTCCTTCTACTTTTCTTTCCTACCAAACATACTCTTACTCTTCTTTTTAATGCCCACATAAGTTTCTTAACTTATATTTTTTTTTCTCATTTTCGTAATTCTTTTATTTGAGTAAATTACACTAGTAGATAAACTAGCCAAAAAAAAAAAAAAATCCCTACTAGATAATTGAATGACAACTTATATATATATATATATATAGAAAGATCTGTTGTGCAACATTTTTAAAGCATAGAAACCCATAAGCGATAGTATATTGACAAATTACGATTTTGATTTAATTTTTTGTAGTGATTCATGACCCCTCACAAGATTCTCTTGCTTGATCACTGATCATAAACCAACTAGCCTCTCACACCTTTATCTCATCTTGAAAAATTATTCGCCTATTCCGTCAACTTTACTATGATTACGTTAAAATCACAATCAATTACGAATTTACGATGCATAAAAAAAGAATAATTATACAAACAGAGAAAGTGAAAACGTTAACAGATTTTGCCTTAAGAGTAACTACGCCTCTCCCCGCCGATCTTCAACAAAGCGTAATATATCATATACCAAAATGGAAGGTGTAATTGGTAGTCAAAATGCACTAGAAATTAGTTAAGAACTGAAACTTCTTTTTTTTTTTTTTTTTTTTCCCAGACGACAAAATACGATTGTAAGCTAAATTTTAGATTCTTTTTCACTTTCCGACAAAAAAAAAAAAAGGTAATTTTATTCTTTCCCGCACTATATCTTCTATAACAAACTCAATTTCAGAGCAAAAAACGTACTCAAATTTCCTAGAACACACGTAAACATACTTTATTACGCATGCTTGATAAGTAAACTGATTCCAAATTCTTTTTTCATCGCTGCGAACGACAAAAGGCTTGCCGAAGATTAGTTATGAAAAAGAAAATTAGTTATATAAAGAAAAAGAAAATTCTCTTTGACATTCCAGCCAAAAGAAAATTCTTTGTAGATGAAACTTATGAAAGTTAATTAACGGATCTTCTATGAAGTCGGTGCCTTTATCCGTGCTTTTACATTTTAAGTTGTTCTTTATATATTATATTATATTATATTATATTATATTATGTTATGTTATAAGGCTAGGTTTATCCCGTTCATTTCACCGATTCGAGTTTATAATTCAAGTTTTGTTACAGTAAAAATGTCTCAGAAATAGTCACATTTAACTTTTTTATTACAGTAAAAAACTCTCACATAAAATCACATCTCAATTCGAATCAGCGAACTAAACAGACTCAAGTCTCAAGATTCTCCTAGTGCTTATTCTTTCAGTGGAGAGCATCGTCTTGTCGTTTCCTCAACGAAGTTCACGATTACTTTTTAATTTTCATGCAAGCCAAAAATCGGACCACTAGATCGTTCCAGTTGAAAACCAACATTAATTAATTTGTTCGCGTGACCATAAAAGAAAAGGAAATAAAAACATGCAAATTTTTTGGACCTCAAACTTTTTGCTTGTGGTGTGCAAATTTTTTTGGTCCCGAATTGGATTGGACATGACCATCGCAAGCAAGAGGGAAAATAATGATGGTCAATTATTATGAGTACTCCTTCTAATATATATGTAGGATTGAAATATATATATATATATATATATGCATGAGGTATATATAAGAGGAAATTAATAATGATCAAGGGAAAATTCTGGTCTCTTTAGATTGTGATTTGTGAATAGGAAAACTGTAACATATGATTTGTGTATTTTTCACGTGATGCATGAGCAAGAAATGAAGTTACTGATTAGTAATTTAATTAGTACCCATCATTATCCTTTTCTTTCATAAATTAAGAGCTTTAGGAAGGTAACAAAAAAAAAAAAGTTAGGAGACCATTTTTTTTTCTTTTGTTTTTTAAATTTGACGCAAACCAATACCCAATAACTTATAGACATGAATTTGGTAGCAAGCATAGGGACCGCCATATTGATCATGGCAATAATTGTGAAGTAAAAGGGGTACTAAAAGGAAGGGAAATTTTTCCTGGTTGCTTACATATGCACTAAAAAAATAATCGTGTCATTGTGGGGTCTCTAATGCTAAGCTAATAAGTTGCCTTCACAGACCAAACAGTGGAAAGCTCAAATTCCATCCTTAGGACCAAAAGCGTTTTTATAATTAGTGGAAACCGGAAAAAGTCATAATGACACATCTACAAACACCTTTGAGAGAGTACTGGTGGAGACATACGGTGGTTTGGGAGCTACTATACACATGAAGACCTTAAGTCTTCCTTCATTTCGCCGATTCGAATTTAAAATTTGAGTTTTGTTACAGTAAAAAGTTCTAAAAAATAATCACATCTAACTATTTTGTTACAATAAAAAACTCTCACATAAAGTCACATCTCAACTCGAATTAAAAACTCAAATTAACGAACTGAACGGACCCTAATTATATTGATTACCCACTTTAGTAGTTAAAAATATATGAAACCCCTTTTACTTTTTCTATTATTTTCTCTAGTAATTTGGTGATCATGTTCTCTCTCAACTCATACATAAGGTAACCGTAGCTTTCAAATCCCCAAGTGGTCCTTATTTGAAGAGGAGGGTTATTTATAATAGACAAATAAAATATCATGTGAAAAATGACATTCAATTACGAGAAAGTGATCACATCATGAAAATAGATTTGAATTTTTTGGTATAAAAATTTAAATTCACAATCAACCAGAAAGATAGATTTGGACTTTCTTGCACCAAGTATCAACCCGAGGGAAATTAACCCTTTTAACTTGCCGTTTATGATCATACACAGCTAACTCTACATACTGTTATATCTCGTCACCTTCTTTCAAACTGAGATGTGATATCTCAATTCTGAGTCACATATACACAAAGTAGCTATATATACGCTCTACAGTCATATACATTAATTACCACCCAATCAGAATCCATTAATATTTGAAGCTCATGATCATATATATACATAGTGGTCATATATATATATATATATATATATATATATATATATACAGTTGAATTAATATCTATTGCTTGCACTACTTCTCAGCTCATAGTGCTTTTTCATTGTACACCCCAATCTCTCACCCATTAATTTTCTCATCCCCCTCTCACTTTTTTGCGCTTGTTCTCACTCATCCTTTATCTCTCTCTCTCTCTGCAACAAAGAAAACAAGTATAGTACTGTCCTATAATAATATTCCTAAAGCAAAAGAAAAGAGATCATCAAACACACACCTCCGAGCATGGCTTCTTTATCTCTCTCTCTCAACAAGAACCCTAATCCTCCGGTCACTGGCCTCTTCCCAAAACAGGACAACCTTAACAGACTCGCAACCAAAACCAGTGCAATTAGCCTAAACAAGCCCTTCTCATCAAAAAAATTAGAAAATGAAAAAACCACGATCATGTTCACACGTTCATCGGTTTCAAGTACTACAAGTACTCACGACTACCGCAAATCCGACGCCGTTTTGAGCCATGATCACCCTCACCCTCACCACCACAACCACCATCACGTGGACGAAGCCACGCTCCTCCTACAAAACGAAGAAGACGAGAGACCGCTCAGAGAAATCTGGCGAGAAATCCAAGGGTCAAACGACTGGGAGGGACTCGTTGACCCGTTAAATTCCTGCCTGAGGAGAGAAATAATCCGGTACGGCGAGTTCGCGCAGGCCTGCTACGACTCCTTTGACTTTGACCCTAACTCAAAGTACTGCGGCACCTGCAAGTACCCGGGGGCCCACTTCTTCGAGAAGCTGGAGATGGCCGATCGCGGCTACAAGATCAGCCGCTATCTTTACGCCACGTCGAACATCAACCTCCCGAACTTCTTCCAAAGGTCCAAGATGAGCAGCGTCTGGAGCCAGCACGCCAACTGGATGGGATACGTCGCCGTTTCGACCGACGAGGACGAGATCCGACGGCTCGGACGCCGCGACATCGTCATCGCCTGGCGTGGGACCGTCACGTATCTCGAGTGGATCTGCGACCTCAAGGACATCCTCCGCTCCGCGGATTTCGGACCCGACCCGACCGTCAAAATCGAATCCGGGTTCTACGACCTCTACACTAAGAAAGAGCGCGGTTGCAAGTACTGCTCGTTCTCGGCGCGTGAGCAGGTGCTGGCGGAGATCAAGCGCCTCCTCGATTACTACGAGGGAGAGGAAATTAGCATCACCGTCACCGGTCACAGCCTCGGTTCGGCTTTAGCGATTCTAAGCGCGTACGACATGGCTGAGGTGGGACTAAACGTCGTCGCATCGGGGAAGAAAGTCCCGATCACCGTTTATTCCTTTGCCGGTCCACGTGTCGGAAATCTGAAGTTCAAAGGGCGCTGTGACGAGCTGGGAATTAAGGTGTTGAGAGTGGTTAACGTTCACGATGTGGTCCCAACGGTGCCGGGGATAATAGCCAATGAGAAGCGTCAGTTTCAAAAGTACATTGAAGAAACGATGTCGTTTCCTTGGAGTTATGCCCACGTGGGGGTGGAACTTAGGCTGGACCAGAGCCACAGCCCATTTCTCAAGCCCACTAAGGATCCGGGGTGTGCGCATAATCTAGAGGTTCACTTGCACTTGGTGGATGGTTATCATGGCAAGGGAAAAAGGTTCTGCCTAGAGACGAAGAGGGACATAGCGTTGGTGAACAAAAATTGTGACTTGCTGAGGAGTGAGTACGGTGTTCCGTCGCAATGGCGGCAGGACGAGAATAAGGGGATGGTGAGGAATACCGACGGGCGGTGGGTGCTGCCGGAGCGGCCGAGGCTCGAGGGCCACCCGCCTGATATGGCGGAGCACCTTGAGAAAGTACTAATGATCAAGAGAAATAGTAATAGTAATGGGGGTGTTCATGGAACTAGTTCTCCAGGGTTGGAAGCTAGTTAATTATGAATATTTATGAGTTTGATGTGGACTACTAACAAACGAGACCTTCATTAGCTTACTTATTATATATATAAATATATATATATATATATATGTAGTTATGTTATGTTAATAATATGTCATATAGTCCTTTTCAATTAATGTGCCTAATTACATGGTTTGTTGGTTTGTCACACTATAACACATCTGGCCCTTTGCTGTTAATTTTGTTGCTATACCCTGTAGTTTTTTATTTTTATTTTTATTATTATTTTTTAATAATACCCGTATTCTTCTTGCTGTGAATATAATTGCGTGAACGCTTGTTTCATAAAACTTTTAATGCAAAATGTACGTCAGTACGTGTATGTGCATGCTTAATACTTATAACGTCTGTACGTGTACGTTGATGTCCTCTCTCTCTTAGGATGTCCACGTGCCCTAGGCTATTATAATTATTGAAATAATTGAACCTCCATTTTCTCCGCACGGCACATGAAGAAGATCAAGTCCCGCCATGAAATTAGTTTTGTAAAAAACTATCGATAGTGCATTTTTTCTAGTCCTACTAAAGAAACTCTTAAATATGGAAATTATTTGTTTTTTGTACCTTAAGCCTTAGGCTTAGAGTAATAAATAAAAGAAGATCAATAAGTTTGGGTTTTCGTTCATTCGCATTTCGTTATTTCCTTTTCCTTTTTCTTGTTCTTTTTTTTAAAAATGAAATGAGGAGGTTTTATTTTATTTTATTTTTTCTAAGTTAAGGAAGGTATTTTCAAGTACTCTTTCTAACAACCAACCATATAAATAGTGGGATGTACTGGTACAGCATGCCAATTCACGTAGAGTGCTTTAATCCCATGAAAATTACGTCAATCCACAACAACGCAAAAGAATATATAATTGTTATTAATTTTGTCTACCAATTACTCATATTCTGAAGATCAGTACTCATCTTTGGTTATATTTGGTAAAAACAGAAAAAAGAAAAGAAAATATACATATAATTTTGTAAGAAAAATATAGACAAATATTTTTATCTTTCTAATTATGTATGTGGTATGATTTTACTCATCCACTCTATTCAACTTAATTTAGAGCGATAGAAGTTTAGAACCCTATAAAGAATTCTAAATTCATTGCTTAATCCATTATTTCTTTTAATTACCCCTCCTAACAAAAAAAAATAACGTTTAAAAATTCTTCGCTAATATTATTCTACTTTCTTCTCCTAACAAACAAGGTTTTATAGTGCATGCGAAGAAGTGTACTACACGTCATTTGCCAAATTGCAAGTATTGACCCGAATGGACTGATTGATGGATAAGCAATTAATTGCCCATTAAGGATTAAGCACCGGGATTTTTCCTTTATTCAGGACTTTATATTCGACAAACTTATTTCAAGCAAAAATGACCTACCTAACATTTTTTTTTTCTCCAAAAAAAAAAAAAAAAAAAAAAAAAAAAAAAAAAATAAAATAAAAAAAAAAAAAAAAAAAAAACAGAGTCATACATTAAGAGTAGTGACACCAACTAAAAATTGTATTTGAAATTTATGAAATATCTAATTAATGTAACGCTTTTATTCAATCTACTGTGGTCCAATTTTGTTTTCAATGGATTGTGCAACTTCTCTCCACTTTCTTTGTAATGGAAAGAGCAAATTCTTCCATTTCAGCGGACTTAGAAACATTTTCGCGCCCTAGCCATTGCTTATTGTGTATCACGTGGGCAAAAAAAAAAAAAAAAAAAAAAAAAAAAAAAAAAAAAAAAAAAGATTAAAGAGAACAAGTTCTCCATTTCATCGTATTCATATAGGTGTTACACGTTTGCCATCATAAAATTATGAATCACTTTTTTTAAAGGTTTAAGATACACATTTCCTCACACGACACATAATACATACAAGTTCTCCTCATCCTTTTTACGTGAAAGTTTATAATACTTTTGAGTTTTTTTTTTTTTTTTTTTTTTTTTTTTTTTAATTTTTTTTTTTTTTT